ATGTTTGGCTGGACATTCCCTCAACAAAAACCCATGCCCATATGCGTGCTGCAAAATCAATGCATATCAATGCTGAATCACGTCGCGGAGCATGCGGCACCACTCGGCAGGAATTCCTTCCGTGCGTTTCTGTCGATGCAGAGTTTGGTTTGGGGGCACGACATATCTTGCTCGGGGCTGCACTAGAGTCAGAGGTTTGCGCACCCTCACGATTTCAACCAAAGTTGAGACACATAGAGGCATATCAGGCTTCACAACGATTTTACAAGGTCGCGCAAGAAGCATTAGCTCCCTGCTTCTGCTGCCGCTGGACTGTATGCCTTTACGGGCCGAGGCTCAGTAAGGGTCGCGCAGCTGGTGGGCGAAGGGTACGGTTGAACTAACTTTCAGGCTGGCGGGAAAGCAGCTTTGCTCTGGAGGAAAGGATGACCGGCGGATCTTATTTTTTACAGGCGAGCAAAAATAATCTTTGGCTTCGGGATGGGCTTCAGGCTCGCGGCGATAAGATTCAAAGCAGAGGAAACTACGCGACAAAAATCGTGTAGACGAGGGCGTAGGGCCATGCAGGGCACCTGGGCAACCTCGCCCTCCCGCTGAACCTGCATTTGGGCTCAAGTTTTCTGACTCAGCCTGCTGCTGCAAGATTTTCCGTCATGGCCAGACTTCTGACTTCTTTGCAGGGAAAGGCGGGAAAGCCGGATGCAGGTTCCCCACCGGTATGTCAGGAGGCATGGACCGGACACAGCCCATCCAAAATGAGAGCGTCAAGTGTGGTCATCGACAGCGGCGTCAGTGACCTCGGGCTGACGAGTGAGGATCTGAACTCGTATCAGCTGGAGAAGTTGCCGATGCATACTACGGGAAGACCAGAGGCACGTCGAGCCTCAGAGCCCATCCACGGCGACGGCGCACAGTCTTGGCATCTTGGCCTTGCTCCCCTTCGGCTTCGCCGTCCAAGTGCTTCTTCGTCCCCTCGGAAACGGCCGAGTCTGCTGCCCCCAGCTCCAGCGACTGGAGGGAACAGCGAGAACTCAAGTGACAGGGAGGATTACGAGCTATCTCCGAATGCCAAGTCAGCACGAGGGCGTCCTACAGAGTTCCCAGGGACTCAGAGCTGGCAACTCGGCGAAGGGAGGTCAGATTCATACCGTACCCGCCCCTCCCCAAAGAGAATTGGCTCCCGTGCGGTGCGGATTCAGAGTCAAGAAATTTCATCCCCGATGTCAACAAAAGCGTCGACTCCCAGACAGGAAGCGAAGGCTGACAACTTGTCGCTGCCACTTCTGGATCAGCGGCCCCCACTCATGGCTCCCCGAAGTTTCTCCTTTGCAGAGGACTCAATGGCAGATGTGATGGCCAACATCCTCGATGAGGAGCCGGAGTGTGGCTGGATGGAGGAGTTTTGGCTCCCAGTGCTGGAAGCTTCGCCGCCAGAGATATGTTTGTCCATATCGGGCCGCTCAATAAGCCATTGGATTGAGCTTTTCAATCGATGGCAAGCTGCCGGAGGCTGGAATCCGGGGAGTGCGCCGAAGTTCATGGATGCCTATGCTTTCCGAGACTTCATTGCCACTCCTATGACGAAGGCCCTCAAGTGGGTCAAAGTCTTCGATCCTCAGGCCTTCTCCCAACTCGAGGCAACGAAGTCCAAGATGGCTTACCAGAATGTGAAGATCAGTCCTGCGGCTTTTCTGACCTCGTCTATCCTCATTGCCACGAAAATTGCGAAGAAACAGAAGATCCGCTTCATTCTGGGGGTCTTTGATGAGGATGACTCAGAGACTTTCGACCGGAACGAATTTGTCGAGATGATCTCGTCCTTCTTGCTGGGCCTGGGAATTTTATTTGGTAGCTCCGTCCCCAAGCCCAGCAGACGCCAGTGGATAGGGAAACTTCTTTTCGATCGCATTCAGATGATGGCCTGCTGCAAACTTCCGGCTCTGGAGGCGAACATGATTAAATCCTCCGACTCCATGCCATGCAGTCTGTTGGAGGAATGGTTTCTGGGAGAGTCAGGTGATCCATTTGCAGTGCCCTTCGCACTCCTCCTCGAGCGCTATTCTTTGCGAGGCTTCAATGAGGACCCCGAGAAGTTCGAGGACGAGGACAAAAAGTTCAAGATCACCCACAAGAGATGCGTAGCGCCTCCGGTGGAGACTGAGAGTTCCTTGGACATGAGCTTCATCAAACGGCACCAGATTGAGCCGCTGCGAAGAATCTTTGACTTGTGCCAGAAGGACTCTTACTATGCGATCTCCCACGGAGAAGCAGAGCGCGCACTCGAAACATCAATTCATCCGGACCTCTGGTGCAACTTCGCAGCACGGGGCTTGGAGCAATTGGAGGCTATGCCACAAAGCAGGAAAGGCGTGACTTTCCTGGCTTTTTTGCGGATCTCCATGCCGCATGCACAACCCCGACACCACCGCATGTTCTTCTCATGGCTTCAAGAGTTGGATGAAATTGAGCAGCTCAGGAAGCAAGTCGCGAGTTCCCGAAGTGAGCAGCTTCGTTTCCAAAATTACATCTCTCGCTGGCCTCTACATGCAGCGCAGCGCCAGAAGCTGGGGGAGCAGTTCGAGATGTTGGGGGAGAAGGCCCTTGCAAGGGGCGATGTTGAGGATGAGGAGGTCGTCGTGCGAGACCCCATCCTGGAGGGGCTACAAGGCGGGGACAAGATGACCAAGGAGGACTACATCGCGGCCAAGTGCGGCGTAGAGGCGCGACCCAACGAGAGCAAACCACAGCTGGATGAGGTCGTAGGCGACTTCTTGCGGCTCCAGGTAAGGCAGCTCGAGGAAAGTCTCGCGCAGATGGAGAGCTTATTCGCCAGTGGCAATCGTGTCACGAGAAGGCCAAGCTTCATCAAGCCTGCTGTCACACAGCGACAGTGGAGCTTGTGGAACCATGCGTTTGACATGATGACTCCTACTGCCGCAAGCTCAGGGCGAGTGACTCTCAAGGAATTCGCCTTTCAACACGATCTTTGTCCTGCTACATGCTTATACCTTTGCCAGAGCATCGGGCATAGCTCCGAAGTGCACGAGCTGGGCTTTACCAAGGAGGAGTTCTTACAAAAAATGCTTGATACATTCAGGCATCGCGTGCGGAAGGAATTTCTCATTCACGGCCGACTCTGCGAAGCGTAAACGCGACATGACGCAGCGCTCAAGCTTACTTTTCAGATTCACATAGAGATGCAGTCGGTCAGATTATCTTTGGGATCGAAGAAAATATCCCTTTGCATGTCTTTGCATGCAGGTCAGTTGGAAATTGAACCTGCCAACCAAAGCGCGCCCTTCGGCTGATCCATGCTGACATTCATAAGGAGCCGATTTTCAAGATGCAGGGGTTTTGATTGGCCGGGTCCTTAATGACCGTGACTACCTTTCACTGGGAACTGTGATACACACCTCAATGGCCCTTCTTGTGTAGTAGTAACCGGGGCCCCGGCAGTTGCGATCGCAATGTCACGTTTGTCCGGGGAACTTCGTCTTGCGCCGACCTTCGTGTAACCCTGAGCCTTCAACCGCAAACTGTGTTTATGCTGCAGCGTGGTTCGTGTAAGTCTCAGCTGCCGGTAGCAATATTGAAATAGCTCGGAAGGCGCAAGCAGAAGTTTGACTCGACGCCTCTTCTTGGGCAGTTCTGACTCTAGAGAAGCCCGTCCAAGTTTGCCGTCCAAGACGGCATCACCTGTTGAAGGAACGCCGTCGTTTGGATCGAAGGTCTGGCGCAACACGCCATTGAGATCTTCCTCTGCCTGCTTTGGCTTGCAGGACCGTTGTAGATGAACCTGCAAGCTCAAGCACCCGCTTTGGCTGATCTTCTTCAGAGGTCTAGCAGACGGCAAAGCGCAGTGGTTTCAGGAAGCCTAAAAGTTTCTGTACAAGAAGTACATGATGACAAACGGGGAGTTTCCACAAACAGGGACCCCCCAATGTGGGACCCCTAGTGTCTGGAAGCCTCCATTTCCAGCGCTTGCTGTTTGCGAAACATGCTTGTGTGGAGCCTTGCTTGCCCTGTGCGAGACAGAGAGTCGAATACTGGAAATCGTGATGCGTCCGACTTGCGGTGCAATGTTGCAGTAATCGCGGACCCGGAAGAATCAGAATCCTTCATTGCTCAAGGCCTTAGAGCGACGAAAATCCACGGCTACCTCATGGGCATCGGCAGCTTGGTTGTTGGGTTCGGCCTGGGCCTCGAGAAGAACCCTTTTCTTGAGATTGGCCGCTTCAGCCCTAAACCTATACGGGTTGAGCTTTTCGGGTCTATTAGGTCTATTGGGTGTTTCGCACTTTTTCCCTGCAGTTGGGTTGTTATATTTAGAGATCTGTAGAGTATATTTAACGGTTTGTGTTCGAGGTTTTCGCGGCCTGTGGACCCAAGGTGTGGGCTTTTTGGTGTGGGTTGCTGGTTACTGGGGTTCTCACAGTGTAGCCCATTCACGTCCTTGCATGACTTCGGATAAGTATGTGTTTGAGGTTTATGGAGTCTCTTGCCGTGCAGCCCCCAGGGTGTTTCACAACTTCTGCTGAGTTGATAGAGTGCTGGGGCAGAACTCCCCAAGCCCTAATTACGCCCTGCATGTGGCTGGCCCAGGATGGTATGTCATTCACTCCAACAAGGAGGCAGCGGGCTCATTTCAGCGGGGCTCAAAGGGGTGGCCTATTGTTTCGTCATCTACGGGTATGTAGACGAGGCTGTCTTGCACCACTCTGGTTTCTAGCGTCGGTGCCATCAAACCGTGCATCCGTGCTTCTGTTGTGCACAGCGGAGCTTGACACTCCACTTTGGAGTTGAAAGTTCCGAAGCACTCTCAGAATTGCTTAAGTCCCGGACCATCAGGCCATGGGCAAGCCGCACATTACGACTTGGCATGGGCTCTCAGGCCGTCTTGATGCTTCCGGACTGATGTGATGGTCTTTCGTCTAGGATCCATGTCAATGCAGCAGGGATGCAAGAGTTCGTTTTTGCAGAAGCCAGGCCTGGTCTGCCTCCTTGCCACCTTCGGCATGGCGGTGGCAGGCACTGGGCTCTTGGCAGAAGCCTCAGGCCATCCTGATCACCAGACAGCAGCAGCACACAAGTCTGGCGACATCATCCAGTGCGAGGGTATTTAGAGGATTTCGTGGTTTTGCTGTCTGTCTATCTAAGCATCCGTCGATCTACGTATCTATCAGCCCAGCCAGCTAGCTTGCTGTGGATGTGTCTCCCTCTGTCTATTTGTTTATCCGTCTGTCTATCTGTCTATCAATCTATCTATCTATCTCTATTTGTCTGTCCATCTATCCTTCTATACCGCAGCAACATTCAAGCACTCCTAGTTTGACAACGACATCGTTACTGCAGACTCTTTCACGTCTATGCAGTAGACCAGAATCCGAAGCACCCTTCGCAATGTTCAAAGGATCCTCACATCGGCATGATGAAAGGGTCGAAGTCGGTGCGGGCCTCGACATTGGAGCTGATTCATAGTAGACTAGGATGTAAACAGACGGCCTTTTCATTGGCCGACGAGCAGGCTTTGTCGCGAGCTGCACCTTGCCGGAATTGAAGATTTGTCCGATCAATGTAGCGACTCTGCTAAAATCGGTTCTCTCGAAAAGAAAGGCTGCCGTAGGATCCGGCCTCTATATATGCACACCCTCTACATCAACAGTAAGTAGCGGACAGCGGCAATGGTAGTGAGGTGGGAGAAGGCGAATTTGGTCAAGATCTGGACTTCCTGATCGTGTTCAGATGCCAAAGTTCGATTGGCCAACTGATAGAATCGCGAACGTTCATGGATGGCGATCGAGAGCAGTTTCACCCCTCAAAGCCACCTCTGAATCGCAGGAAGAAGCTCATCCGGTGGAGTCTGAATTTGGAGAGCTTAACCCCTAAACCCACCGAGGGATCGTCTGGAGCAGAGGAGTGGAACCACCCTCTAGATAAAGAATTCAAGTGCCCAAGCCTTTTACGTTGCCAGGTCCCCTAAGCCCTAGACTTTTTTTTCGGTTTCGGGTTTGGCCAACCATGCCGAAGCCTAGCCAGACTCTCAGGTTTCCTCAGCTCATAAACCCTAAACCCATCTAAAGCCCTAATGTCACTTCTCAGCGGACCTCGAACCATAGGCCTGTCCGAGTGTGAGCGCCGAAACCCCTAAACCCTAAACCCCTAGACCCTTAGGTTCGTTTCGTGCACAAGAATGGCGGCCGGCTCCTTCTGGGAGCCGCTTTCGCAGGGGACCCTAGCCGACGGGGAACTCGGACGACCTCGCTTTGGGGTGCACGGTTTGGACCTGGGAATTTCTCCAAATTAGGGAACCTACATAGTACGGCACCCGTATAAACAGGATCCCCCCAAAAGGGACACGAACTTGCAGAACTAACCATTTGGGGCCTTAAGCTACCATGATAGGGGCTTCCGCAAGAGAAGGGGCCCTCATGATTCATGTGTCGGGGTGTTATGATTTAATTAAAATGTGGGGATGAAGCTGTATAGGGCTGACCCGCTCTTGAAAGCTCCCAATTCAAGAAGCACTTGGAACAAGAATGCCTCAACGCAGACGTCAAAGCTTGGAAGTTCTCCCATATCGTGCTGGAGTCCCGGAGTTGAACTAAATATGGCTGGGGAGGCATATGTGTGTATTAAGTCTTGTTGTAAGTTATGACCCCCACAGAAATACTTACAACGTGCGCAGGTGGAGGCACAACTTAGCGACGCTTGTTCTTGTCTTTCCGCGCTCATACGGCTGGGCGCAAGGGTAGAGACCCTGAGCTGGAACCGAGGCATCGTCTGTCCTGGGCTGGTCCACAGTGCAGAAGCAAGCGGCCCTTCCTGCAAAGTGCTTAGCATCTAAAGGTGTGGGTCGAGGCACTGGAAGTCCGGGATGTGATTGACTTCTGGGGTAGATTACTAAAGACCTGCACTTTCTGTGTCTATTCTGAGTACCACACCGACAAACGGTCTGGGTTTGGCTTCGGCAATCTCTGTAGCAGGAGATGGAGGCATTCTGACTCGGCATGCTAATCATCATCGACACTGCTGTGCATGGCATCATCGAAGGCCAAGTTCAAAGAGATGAAGCCGAAGATTGTTCCCAGATACCTTGATTTTCCCGGAGCCCTCAAGCAATAGACCCAGATTGCGCTCTTCGCGCTGCCGCTCGTCGTCCTCATGAAGGCAGCACTTCAGAGCAGTCTCACTACGATGAGCAAGTTTGGGGTTTCCCTTCAAGTCGCAAGGACTTGAAGTCGCGAACATTCCACTTCCAAACCAAACCGTGACATCGAACATCGCAGTGTTTTCCAGCCTGCCAGGTGCTCATCTGAACGGGCCGCCTTTCGCCATCTTTCGCCGATAGTATCTCGCAGCACTCTTGACGTTGTGGTTAAGACAGCGTCCCGTCGCGCTCCAGACGCTATCGCAAATCAAGATGCGTCTGATGCATGGCTGCATGGCTATGTTTACTCTTAAGTCTCTGTGGTAGCCATCGGATAGTGATGATAGGTCCTGATAGGTCTGATAGGTGGTGGTTGTGAGGAGGATGAATTTGAAGATGCTGCCGTACTTGGTGATGTAGATGCGAAGATGTTGATGATTCATGATCATTCTGGTTCTGACCATTTATGATCATTATGCTGCTGCTGCTACTACTACTACTACTACTACTACTACTACTGCTACTGCTACTGCTACCGCTACCGCTACCGCTACCGCTACCGCTACTGCTACTGCTACTGCTACTGCTTCTTCCGGACGCAGCAAGGGATGATCTCGCTTAGCGTTCGTGACGTTAAGGCAGGCCTCACGAACCCGGCGCATAGCGCACTCATCCTTTTGATGAGCCCAGCTCTTACTCAAAAGACAAAGCAACACCCGCATGGCCCGAAGGCCCCATCATGGAGGTGTTGGCCTCACTCCTGCAGACTCCTAGATATGTATAGGCGAGAGTTGATCCGAATTGAGGAAGCATGCAACTACCTGTGAAGCTCGCTGCAACCAGTAGTTACCCTATCTACAGGAGGAGTGGCGAGGACCCAATTCAGGGACTCGGGCAGAGCACATACAAGAAGGCGTAGGTATTGGGATAGTGCATAGGTAGGTCCCTATGGGCAAGGCGTTGGGCTGGCTTATTATCATCCGTAATGAGGCAGAGGTCGGCGTCCTGGAAAAGAATGCACCTGTAATGTCCTGTGTCGGGCGAGGGGCCTTCGTGTATTACCACTGCAGCCCTGCGGTATCTGGCATACTGTTGGGCCAGAGAAAGCGGCCGTGCAGTCACCGTGAACACCGGCAATATTATCTCTGCGTTCGGAACTACAGGCATGCTCGATTTGCCTATGCTACTCTGAAGCACGCCAAAACGGTTGACTTGCAACGCAAAACCGCGGGCTGTTGCACCAGCCCTTGCAAGCCACGCTGCATTTGCCATGCATCGACAAGTTGCTGAAGCTCTGCAATAGGGGCGTCATGGTGGGGTATGGCATTTAAGGGAGTGTCTAACCAAAGAGGCCAGGTACTACCCTCTTCACAAACTCCTATGGACGCGTCATCCTGAACCTGTCGTGCTTCCCAGTGGCCAGCGGCAGTCGTAGCTTGAAGCCGTGGTGCCAGAAAAGTAAGATACTCTATGACATCATGTTGTTGTGCGGGCCTATTCCAGCCTATGTTGATATTTCTCCATGGCAGGGTCTGATAGAGATGATGCACTTTCTTATCCTTACTAATCCGGCTCCACAGGGTGCGAATTGCCGGCCCAAGCAGGGACTCAGCTCTCTCCAGACCTGTGAGGAGGCAGGCATTGCTCCAAATGATGGCAATTAGTGCAGCATTGGAGTAACAATAATTACACGTGTTACCGAGAATTAAGGACCTGACATGCTTTCTGTCATCTTCTGGAGGTTGGTAGCCAATGCAGACCTGCCCATCTTGTCCGCCCGCATCGACATAGCCATGGCCCGACACGCGCCGGAGTGGCAGAGTCGGGTAAACATCTGCCATGCTTGGTCCGCCTCTCTGGTTCTCAGACCAATCTCCAGAACCATCGGCAGAATCTCTCCCTTGAGGTCTTGGGAATGGCGGCGTGTGGCATGGAAACGGATCACAGTCATCGGAAGTATGATCAGACCCTGTAGGTCTTTGAGGTGCTCCCTGACGTCCGATAGCTCCATGGGCTCCCGATCGGTCTTTATCTCCATCTTCTTCTCTTGAGAATTGTACTGGAGGTAGGGGACCTTGTTGTCCTCGTTGAGGATCAACATTTCCTTGGCGTTGGCAATGCTCTCCGCGGACTTGTCGATCAGACACATCCGGTTGTACCATACAGTATCTCCAGAAATTGCAACATCAAGGCAACTCTTAGTGGCATGGTCAATGTCTCCGGCATCTCTTCCTTTGCCTTCTTCCAGACATCGTTGGCTTTCATGAGGTCTGGAAGGGCAGATAGGAGTCCCTGGGTCTGGCAGAAAAGAACAAAGCCGGTTTCGGTCCGGGCTATGCTCTGTGCATCCTCGTGCCTTAATACCAGCCTCGACATCATCAGGCATAGGTCGCGGAGTTCCGAGGAGTCCCGGGACTGGGAGTTCCAGTGTCCTCCCCAGTTGCCGTGATTTCCCCAACCATTCCTAGATCGTCCTGGGTTGCCTTTCTCTTGCTCGCGTCGCGGCCACTTGTTCGGCCCCTTGCCCGAGCCGCTGCCCTTGGAGGTCGCCTCCTCCTCTGAACCCCTCTTCCCCTCCCTCTGTGCTGTCTCCATGGGCGTCGGGGAGGGAGGCTGGTGCAGAGCGGCCGTGCCTATGGGCGGCTGTCCATCCGGACCGGACGCAGAGTTGTGCAGCATCGTCTTGAACATACTGGCCTGGGCCTGGGTTTGGAGGAGCTCCACCTGCACTGCTTCGGACGCCATTGGGGGTAGCC